ATAAAAATGTTTAGTAACATTTTAAACGACCAAATCAGCCTCTGATTGGACCATTCTACTGTGACGCCAGTTACATAGAAAATAAAATGACCTCAGTCTGAAAAAGCAGAAGATGAAATCCCACAAGATTTACATGGTTAACACAACAGAAGGAAATCACTTGATTTAAAAAGGAATCGTAAAAAAATAAAAATTAATTGATTAATTAAATGACCCCTGAAAAATGTATAACGGACGTGATGAGGACGGTCCTCTTTTCTCTAAAAATTAAACTTGAGAAAAAAAATATTCTGGTCTGTTTTCTCATTTAAACGGTTGACAATATGAAAGTATCACTTTGCATCTACTTTGTGTAAAAAAATAGAATCTCTGAATGTGGACTGGATCTGAAAAAACCTATCAAACTTCCACAAAGCTCATTCCGTCAAATCATCACATCCGTTACATAAAATAAACAGGGCCGCTATAGGAAACTTGTCTAATGTAAAAAAACATTTATGTTCTAGCAACTTCTAATGAACAGAGGAGGTGCTTGGAAACGTGAAAAAGATAAAATATCTTCTGATTATTAAAATCTAATTTTTGGCCTTTTGTCACACTTTTGTGTCCTTTAGTGTGAACAAGCCCATATCCTAAAGGTGCCCAATTACAAATGTGACCTTTTTGAGAGTATTTACCTCCTCCATGTTTTTGAATGGTTGTCATACAATTTGACAAAATGTCCATGAGAGCTGGAGTCCACTCCGAGGTCAATGCGCCATCTTGAAAAACATTGTGTTTTAATTTCACAGGTGCTACTAATATTGTTGATTCCACCTTTCCCTCAGAAGTTTGAAGTGGGAACCATGGAGGACAACAATTATGCAAAAGAACCATGGAGGAAAAAGTATTATGCAAAAATCGAGAAACCCGCGTCATAACAGAAAATGTGTCCACATCGCAAACCACACTTTCTTCACAGTGATGAGAACGAGGAAGAATCTGCAACACGGATCTCAGGCTATTCTGACCAGTGGGGGCGGGTCCCGGCTCAAAAAGATCCATGAGCACCATAGACTGTATATGAGCACCATGGATGTATTATATTGTATTTATGTACATATGTATTTATGTATTTATGTTTACTTCATATTGTATTTATGTATTTATGTGTTTTTTATTGATGTTTTTAAGCATTTAACTTGCAACTCTCCGTGCTTTTTAATTGCCCCTCGGGGATAAATAAAGTGATTGATTGATTGATTGATTGATTGATTGATTGATATTAACTGGATAGGGTATTACTAGCTTGTAGCTGAATAACTCATGTGCTCAGGGGATTCTCGCGGTACTGCAGACTGAACCAGACTAAATTCACGGGGGCTACCCAGAAATTTTCCCCATAGAACTCAATGCATATTAAAACAGCTCAACCTCAGCTGACAGAGAACCTACAGCTTTAATAAAGATAGGATTTTGTGGGGATTTTAGTGTCCCTTGTCATCCTGAACTTTTTTTCTTCTTAAATCCTTCGGTTTTGTTTAAATCCACACTTTAGTGCCACAAACTCTGCTCGTCTGGCTCTCGCTCTAACTCCCGCTCTGATGAGCTGCTCTGATTGGTCAGAGCGCAGCCAAGCCCCTCGGTGCACGTGCGTGAGACCCGGTGTGAGACCCACACACGCGTGTTTGACACAACGCATTATGGGAGATCATCCACTGCGCAGAACTGGGAGGACCAGACGATGCCCAAATACAGGCGAGTTTCCCATAGATCTTTGCGAGTTTCAGGCAACTTCCGCTAATCTTTCAGCCCCCATGCTGTCACAAAGCGCCACTGAGCACAACCATCCATTTGAATAGGGCACCATCTTGAATCGCCGGGGCTTGATGAGCACGCACACTGACATGCTTGCAATCCCACGCCTTGCCACTTGGGGTGGACCTGAAAGAGAATTATCCAATGGCTCTATGCATGCACCACTTCCGCGTTTCAGTTCAGCTGGAGTTTACCCATGGATCTATAATATTAACTGGATAGGGTATTACTAGCTTATAGCTGTCCCCCCATGAGCACAGGGGGTACTGCAGACTAAAGTCCCATAGAACTTAATGTATATTAAAACAGCACAACCTCAGCTGACAGAGAGCCTACAGCTTTCATAAAGATCGGATTTTGTGGAGATTTTAGTGTCCCTTGTCATCCTGAACTTTTTTTCTTCTTTAATCCTTCGGTTTTCTTTAAATCCACACATTACTGCCACAAACTCTGCTCCCTGCCTTCCCGCTCTAGCTCCGCTCTTCCGCTGCTCTGATGAACAGCTCTGACCAATCTCGGCCGAGCCCCTCTGTGCGTGTGCATGAAAGCCACACACGCACATTTGGCGCGACACATTGCGCTAATCCACTGCGCAGAACCGGGAGGACCAGACGATGCCCAAATATAGAAGAGTTCAGCTAATCTCCCGGTCTCCATGAAGTCCCATGCGCTACTGTGCACAAACCATTCATTTGAATAGGATCGCCGGGGCTTGAGTTTACTAGATGTGTGCACAAGTTTCCTAAATAATGCTCAAACAGAAATTAAACTGTCAGGATACTGGGCATTTTTAGGACACAGCAGTGCTCTTTGATTGTGCTGTCATTGTGCTTTTATAAAGTTAACTTATCTCTCTGAGTGGCCACAGTCAAAGCTCTACCTCAGAGAGAATGTCAACACTTTTGGGTCAATCTCACAGCTGAATGTATCGATCTAATTACTAAAAAACATCACTACTTCTTGATCACCACAATGCCGTAGCGCTAGCACAGACAGGAAGTAAACGAGCCGTTCTTTGGTTACAGGAAATGACATCACGCCTTCCTGTGCATAGTCCATTCTTTTGTATGCCGCATTCTCTTCTATAGAAAACGGCTTTACAGGATGTTTTTTTTTTTTTTTTTTTTTTGTGACCAGTCTAGTTTAGCCGCTATGGACTTTTGAATGCCGGCTAACATGCGCAAATGTGTTTTTTCTAATTTTCCTCTTCCATTTTGAAAAGAAAGCAAAAGTGGTTTCAACAGCAGAGACAGGCGTGACTGCGTCCGTTAATATTTAGTCTATGGTGCTGACCCGCTTTGAGCATTACACCAACTACTATTTTCACTTAAGTTTCAACTGAACTTATTCAGGGTCAAGCAGCAAACATCCCACAAAACAATTTGTGGGATTCCTTTTTCTTACCGTGATGCGGACTAGCACCGCTCTGAAAGCTAAAAATAGTCTGAGCTTTTAGCCACAGTTGTGCCACGGCTTTGTAGATGTCCTGGCTTCTCTGATCATCGCCACAGACGTCCCATTCCTTTGTCTCTTCTCTTCACACGGGTGCGCTTCAGAACACGGCCTTGGTTTACATGTTAGCCTAAGCGTGTGCATACATTAGTTTACATTTTAGTGCTACCGTTTCAAGTGACCAAGAAGTTGGAGACATTTATCAAACAAAATAATTCTTTCCGTGGCAGCCCGGTTCCTACAACCGGGAATGAGGGACCACTGTCAAAGACGACATAATGTCCATGTAGTGCCGGTGTTGGAAAGTTGACTGCAATGTATGATCTCAAGGCTAGATGGGAATAAAAGCTACACCGAATACATATTTAACCATGTGTCATTAATATCAAGTGATGAATTGTCTCTGTTCTGATGCACATTAATACACAATACCTCATATAAAAAAAAGCATTGTCAATCTTCGTTTGATCTGGAAAAACTGGAAAATAAAACTGTAGGTCCCAAGTGCGTTAGATCGCTGTTGCCTTAATTTCTTGACAGATTTCTTACCCCAGTAAAAAAGCATCGCAAAACTTTTAGTATTGTAAAAAAAAAAAAAAACATTTGATTTGATCGCATTTAACCTTCAGTCAATAATTCCCTTTCATTCATCCAAAAGCATTAGCATTGTTTTTCTTACACACTTTGCATTTTGAATCCACAGGGTCAGCATGTGATCGCCATTCAAACTGGATCCTTTTGTCTCTGGGTGTTCACACGGCTTTGGTGTTTAGACTTGCAGCCACTCAACATGACATAACTACAGCAAACCAATGTCCCGAAGCTTCAGTGCACCTTTACTGATGGCTACACAAAGCAAATATCAGTTTTCCCTACACTTTCCGTAAGGGTTTCTGCGTACTCTTTGTTGTGTGAGGTGCAGCTAAAAGGCAATTAATCTGAAGTTATGTTGATCTAGTCTGTTGATTGGGATTGCACATATGTGGAGCCAGTGACGCCTGGGGAATGTGTGGAGACGCACAGCTGATCCCCCACATTAAAGACCGTCTAATGACCTCAGCCTATTCTGGGATTGATACAGGTTCCCATGAGGACAGCTACAATATTAAAATGTCATAATCATTAAATATAGTCGTCCAAAACGAACTGGACTGTAAATATCATGTCTATAATCAAATTCTAGTAGACAAGTAGATAAAAAGGAAACTCATTTAGATCACTTCAACCAAAAAAAAAAAAAATATCCTGACAAAAAACATTTCAGGCAAAATTACAAACAATATGGATCTCTAATTTATACTTGCTGCTAAAATCTGAGATATTGTACTTGATTCTTGCTTCTTTAATTTACTTAAATTGGAGATTTTAGCTTTTGTTCTTTAATCTTGTGCTCCTCATTCCCACTGCTCTGTAACTGGTGATGCAACACTGAAATTTCCCCACTGTGGGAAGAATAAAGGTTCTTTTCATCTTAATACAATATTAGACATTGTTTTATTGAAGGTGTTTTGTGACTGAAATGGTGGCATAAGAATGAAAGGAGTTTACTGCTATTACACAGTAATAAATATCAAAATATGGATGAGGGTACAGTCGAGCACACACACACAGATATCACTCAGTGTGGGATTTTCAGGTTTGCTCAGACAAAGATTGAATGGACTCCTTATCAGCCACAGTAAATACTGAGCCTGCCACAGTTCCAGGGTCACAGTGAACGGACAGGAAACAATAATAATCTCCAACGTGCATCATGTTTTTTGTTGGTCAGTAGCAGCTGTCATTTCTGCAGTGTTCTTTTTAATTGAAAATGTTTCCTTAAACACAATGGTTTGCCTATGAGTCGATGTTTGGTGATCCACTCCCACGGCCTCTGCCACACTGCTGAAGCCCTGCTCCCTGCAAAGTGTAAAAAAAGGAGGATAATTACTCTTATTATTATAAGTATTATATATGAAGTATGATCTCACCGAATCAGGATGTACAGGTTTGTATTGACTGTGTCTTATGTGATCACAGTGCAGTGATGTTTTAGAGTTTCATACAAAACAATAATAATGCTTCTTTGTGGCACTTACTGAAGAAGTTGTTCCAGTTCCCGCTTTATCTTTTTCACAATAGGGGGACCCTGATAAGCAAAAGCCGTATAAAGCTGAACCAGAGAAGCACCTGCACGGATTTTATCCAATGCATCCTGCCCACTTGCCACGCCACCGATACCAATGATGGGCACTTTCCCTGGAGGAAAATCAGACAACACCTTTTTTAAATGTGGCATAAAAAAATCTTGGTATGAGGGGCCCTTAAAACACTGACCTTTGGTCAGGCAGAACATCTCTCCCACTGTTTGTGTAGAGAGGTCCTTCAGAGGCTGACCGCTGAGGCCCCCACTCTCAGTGCGCTGTGCGTCCTGAAGACTCTCTGGTCTGGTCACTGTTGTGTTGGAGACCATCAAACCATCAACACCCAGCTACAACATTTACATACAGAATCATGTTATCAAGTTATAACTTCAACTTTTCTTATTGACACAACAAATAAGAAAAGCTGTATGTAAGAGACCTTATTGTAAATAAGGTGTCTTATATCTTTTCGTTAACTGTTTGCACACTTTCTGATTTCTTGCGCACTTGTGATATTATTGAGCCCAAATGTAACTGTAAATGTCTCCATTGTGAGATTAATACCATTTTATCTCATCTCTTATGATAAGGTGGAAGTTATACATTTACTAAAACATAATTAGTCTTTTCATTTATTGAATGCAACATTGTGAAAACAATATTGTGCTTTGTCAATAGAAGAAAAGAGTAAATTGTAAATTGTGAAATAAAGACTGGACCACAGACTGATGCTTCAAGGTGAAAGCAGCTTTGGTCTATTCTAGATATGGAAAAACAAATGGCCGGTTTTTTCCACTGTGTAAGTTGTATGTTTGTGTGCAAATACTGTATGTATAATAGACAGTAGATTTTCGAGCAGCAAGGGGCCAGAAACACATGTGAAGTGATAAGGTGACTTGCTTCATTTGAATTAAAAATACTCAATTCTGTTGAATTAAAGCCATTAGTGTGAGGTGAGTGTGATTCAAGTAGAGCCCGTTTTCACGGATGTGAACTGTTACAAAGGAAAGCCTAAAATAATGTTCTTTCTTTCTCGGTAATGTGTCCATTAAAGACGCTTCGCTGAACACAAAAACTCCTCCTCTGAATTTCAAAAAACACCCCGTTGACTGAGTAACACCTGAACAAAAGTACATAGCTAAAAACGGACTGCTTCATTCAGAAAATAATACATTTTTGAAGACCTGGGAGGGACACGATTGCACTACAGAAACCTAAAAAAGCCATATATACAGTGCCTTGCGAAAGAATTTGGCCCCCTTGATCCTTTCAACATTTTGCCACATTTCAGGCTTCAAACATAAAGATATAACATTTTACTTTTTTGTCATGAATCAACAACAAGTGGGACACAATCGTGAAGTGGAACGAAATGTATTGGATTATTTAAACTTTTTTAACAAATAAAAAACTGAAAAGTGGGGCGTGCAATATTATTCGGCCCCTTTACTTCCAGTGCAGCAAACTCACTCCAGAAGTTCAGTGAGAATCTTTGAATGATCCAATGTTGTCCTAAATGACTGATGATGATAAATAGAATGCACCTGTGTGTAATCAAGTCTCCGTATAAATGCACCTGATCTTTGATAGTCTCAGGTTCTGTTTAAAGCGCAGAGAGAACCATGAAGACAAAGGAACACACCAGGCAGGTCCGAGATACTGTTGTGGAGAAGTTTAAAGCCGGATTTGGATGCAAAAAGATTTCCCAAGCTTTAAACATCTCAAGGAGCACTGTGCAAGCAATTATATTGAAATGGAATTAGTATCAGACCACTGCAAATCTCCCAAGACCCGGCCACCTCTCCAAACTTTCATCTCAAACAAGGAGAAGACTGATCAGAGATGCAGCCAAGAGGCCCATGATCACTCTGGATGAACTGCAGATAACTACAGCTGAGGTGGGAGAGTCTGTCCATAGGACAACAATCAGTCGTGCACTGCACAAATCTGGCCTTTATGGAACAGTGGCAAGAAGAAAGCGATTTCTCAAAGATATCCATAAAAAGTCTTGTTTAAAGTTTGCCACAAGCCACCTGGGAGACACACCAAACATGTGGAAGAAGGTGCTCTGGTCAGATGAAACCAAAATCGAACTTTTTGGCCACAATGCAAAACGATATGTTTGGCGTAAAAGCAACACAGCTCATCACCCTGAACACACCATCCCCACTGTCAAACATGGTGGTGGCAGCATCATGGTTTGGGCCTGCTTTTCTTCAGCAGTGACAGGGAAGATGGCTAAAATTGATGGGAAGATGGATGGAGCCAAATACAAGACCATTCTGGAAGAAAACCTGTTGGAGTCTGCAAAAGACCTGAGACTGGGACGGAGATTTATCTTCCAACAGGACAATGATCCAAAACATAAAGCCAAATCTACAATGGAATGGTTCACAAATAGACGTATCCAGGTGTTAGAATGGCCAAGTCAAAGTATTAGCGCAAGGGGGCCGAATAATATTGCACGCCCCACTTTTCAGTTTTTTATTTGTTAAAAAAAAAAAAAATTATCCAATACATTTCGTTCCACTTCACGATTGTGTCCCACTTGTTGATTCTTGACAAAAAAATGTATTTTTATATCTTTATGTTTGAAGCCTGAAGTGTGGCAAAATGTTGAAAGGTTCAAGGGGGCCGAATACTTTCGCAAGGGCACTTTATACTGAAATATATATATTTACATTTACATTTAAACTATTTCCATCAAGTCTGTGAAAATATTAAGACAACAGGCTCTATTTATTACCAGATTAAATGTACGATAAGCATGTTTTGAAATATGACACACCTTGTGATGGTTTTAAGCAGTGACAAATAAGAGTTTATGAAATTAACAAACTGCTTCTAACCTCTGTGACTACATCAGCGATATCATGTTTGTCCTGAGTGCTGAGGTCAGGGGCAATTTTGACCAAGACCGGTGGCTTGTGTTCTCTCTGCAGGGCGTTCCGCTCTTTCAGCACCTAAGAAGATTCAATAACAGCTTTTTTTAGGCACAGCCACATTATCAACTTTTCACTTGATGGATTACAGATGAAATGCACAACAAAGACCAGGGTAAAATGCATCTAATGCATGTTGTTTGGGAACACTATAAGCGAAATGGATGGGCTTGAGTGCTTACTTCACCCATAGCAGTTGGCTTTTTTTCCGTAAGAAGCCATCCATGGCAAAGCTGCACCCACTAAACAGACATGAGCCCCTTACTGATCCTCCTGCAGGTGGTGAGTCTACAGGAGGACAGCTTCTCTAGTCTGAGCTGCCTTGATCTTTCAGCGGGGGCTTCAGGCAAAGTGGTGTTAAGTGTCTTGCCCAAGGATGCCCCAACAGTAGACATCAATGGGAGGAGAAGGTCTCATCGTGGACTCTAACCCACAACCTTCAGGCTCTAAGGCCCAAAGGTTGAACATTTTAGCCATATTCTCAAATAACTACAATCAAAGAGCCGATTGGGAGCGGCTCTGGTCTCTTCCTGATTGAGCCAATGCAGAAACTGATTGGCCAGTTATTAGGAGTCACATTAAAACACTTGGTCACTTGCCACCTCAACTGGCTTCTCTCAAGAGAAGCAGTGGCTCTAATCGAAACGGAGTGTAGTGTGGACTTCAGAACAGACCAAGGTCCATTTTCTTCATGTTTAAGGAGTGAGCAGGCAATGAGGGGCTGCATCAGGTGAGTGTGTGTATAGATATGTGTGTGTGTGCATGTGCGTGCTGTGGTTAATGTGCAGGGAGTCTGTGGTTTTGCCAGTGCAGTATGTTGTTCTTGTGCACAGTACATTGCATATACGCCCGGATAATTGCCTTCAGCATTACCATGGCTGGCAGTAATTTATTTGTCAGGCATCCGTAAGATGAATTTAAAAATGCAGTGCACATAAATAGAAAAATAAGTCCTGGTTTCAGAGGTGTGATGAACGGGTCCGTAGGCTATGTCTTAAGTTGATTTGATTTTGTTCTGTCATTTGTGATACTATTATATCTAAATATTGTACACATAATGTGCATTTGTCATTGTGCTAGTTTCACATCTGTCACTATGGCAGAACAGACTTGCACAGATGTTTTCTGGTTTCTCTTGGCCTTAAAGACATTGCTGTAAGGCTGTAAAGTATATTTGTAATTTGACTTTTACTCTAATATTGCAGCTGTTATTCATCTTGTTTTGAGTCCTTCTATTTCCTGTGTCTTCAAAGTGCCCCACTGTGCAACAGCTAAAGGGTCTCTAATGTGATCATTTCTTACAATTTCACAGAGCAAATGTTGTGCTGAGCAATGAACATACACAGAATTCTGCTAAAGCTCAACGATATAGACAGCCTTACTGTGCTGAGGAGCTGACGCAACTCATTTTTTCCTTGCAGGTTTCGGAGTCCTGGTGTGTTGGGGCTGCTCACATTCACCACCAAATAGTCAGCCAGAGGTCCCAGAGCCTTCACTCCCTCCTGATAATCGGCCGCTGCGTCCAGGGAAAGCTTGTTCTTGCCCAGGTTTACGCCGAGAGGGTGGCCAGCTAAGTGCACACACAAGAATCCTTACAACTATTCTCTCACTTTAAAAACCTAAATAGGAGTGATGCACAATAGTGGAATTTGCAACTGATGATATGCAACCGTTTGCCACCAATAATGGAAAGCAAATAACACCTTTTTAAAATGAGAAAATATATAATAAACACACACACACCCTAATCTCGTTCATCTCATGGAAAAGATGTTGGGTATTTGCGGGTAGAAAAACAGTAACGCAGAATAAAAAATATTCTGCTAACCATGTCCAGAATTAGTCCAAAATAAAAAAGACAAAATCTGGCTTTAATGTACACTCCCAAAGTGCTAATAAAGGCGTCATAATTTTATAATGATCAATTAAATTTTTTTATTACATAATGTATATCAATGACGCCATAAGATGTCACCTCTGACAAAGGCAGAAGTTTACCGTCGAAACATGTCAGGCAAGTAAGCAGGACAAGCTTCTTCACACTATTGTTTGTGAGAGTGAACATTTGGAAACGTTTATGGACATCCGTCATCTGCCCCTTATGGACCAATGGCTCTATGTGTTTTTGTCATTGGATTTTTTTGTGTTTGTACTGTTTAATTCCGTGATCTCTGATGGAAAATTGATAAATTCGTTGTGATTTAGGACTATACAGAAACAATTTGAATTTCATTGAATTGAGTCTTATCAAAAAGGACCTCAGAAAGCCTTAAACATAAATACATAACGTACTTCCACCTTGAAAAACTAAACAATTAATGTCTAAGGGAAATGAGCTTAGGCTTTTGGATGGCCATTAACAAACAAATAAAGTATGTAGTGGACATAAGAAGTAACTGTTACTGTATCCAATTTTCCATTGTGATATTTTACATATTAAAGACAACCGCAGTATCATCCCACCTTTAGTCTGCTCCGTTTGTGTTTTTTCTCTGGCCTCGAGTCTTTGCTGGGCTTCACTAATTCCACAACTATTAAATCCATATCTGAAGGAAAAGACAAAGTTAAATTGGTTGGCTTCATGTATAACAGCAATATTAAACCTTAAACAGAACTCCGAAATATGATTAACAATTAAATTAAAGCTATTTCAGTGAGAGGGACACTAAAAAGGCTTGTAAATTCAATCCCCAACCGCAATAATAATTGAAGATTGCAAAAACTGCATGTTTCACATAACTTTTTGTCTTCAATGAATTGATTGTAAATGAAAAATGTGCATTTGACCTTGTGCCTTTAAATAAAATTACATAATTTGATTACACAAGCTATCCAATCAAAATCTTGAATTTAGTTCAGTACAAAAGACCATCACTGCATGATTAAATGAGGACTAATCTTTATTTTTGTATCTGTCTCATGAGGTTGCATATCAGGTTAATTTTTCCACTTTTGCTGCCAATTATTATTGTATTAAAATAAAACTGTAAAGGTTCCAAACTATAATGCAATATGATACAATAACTACATTGCTATAAAGATTCTTTAAAAATGTTTTTTAATGGGAGGTACTTTTGTTTGGAAAAAACCCATGGTATAATAATAATGAATTACTTTTATACAGCATTTTCTTGGACAGTCACAACATCGCTTCAAAAAGCCACAGCTGCTCTGGGGCAGAAGGGAGGCAACACATCTGTGACATCAGCCCCTTCAGCCACCACCAAACATACCGGACTCATGCAAGGCATACAAGTCCAAAGACAGGCCTAGGACAGTTTTGCACATGGCCTCAGCCATCACTGGACTCACCAGGCCTTAATAAAGGTATGGCCATAATGCATGTAAAGCAATACAGCTGTCGTGTCATCTGCTTAAAAAGGCTGACTGATCAGTAGTTAAAAGGACACATTCATACATAGCTTACTATTAATTTACAACTAAGGGGGACATTTTTGGTTAAGTTGCCCTTTTAGACACAGTTGTCTCACCTGTTTATAATGGCTTGGTCAGTTGTTAGTCGAAACACACGTGGTTTGGCGTTTCCCTCTTGAGGTTTTGGTGTTATGGACCCCACTTCTACAAACCCAAAGCCAATTTTGTAGAGTCCATCCACAGCCTCCCCGTGCTTATCAAAGCCTGCAGCAATGCCGATGGGGTTTTTGAAATTTAACCCAAAGACATGCGTTTGCTACAAAGGGAAAACAAGAGTAAATTGTGTCAGTATTTGTTTTTCTTAGTAAAAAGGTATTCATACTGGCCAAACATTGTAATACAGCACTTACTAGCAACGGGGGGTCCTGATAGCGATTTAAGGGGACCAGACCCAAGCCAATCATTTTCACAGCAAGAACATGGGCAGTCTCTGCTCCCACAATCCTTTGTAGCAGAGGCATCAACTGGTTGGCATAAAAAGCCTCATCTCCAACAACAGTGAGATACGAGGCAAACAAAAGACCTCCGGAGCTGATCACCTTCACCGCATCCTTAAACTGTTTCTGTAAAAACGCAAGAACTGGACTTGTATTTTATAGTTAACGACTAAAAGATGATGGTACAATTGTATATCTTAATCATGTATTTGCACAAATAAGTATATCGTTTTGTTTACTGTAGTTTTTTGTCCTTAAGCTAAAAATAATAATTTGGTTTAATTTTAAGTATAGTATTGTGTATTCACATATCCTGTGTGCTCCTCATTCTGACTGTTCTGTAAGCTATGAAGACCCTGACATGTCTCCACTGTAGGTTGAATACATCATCTTATCATCTAAATTACTATTGCAACAACACATCATCAGTGGGGTAAAAGGTAAAACTAACCTGTAACAAGTATTTTGTTACCCTTAGAGTTAGTAATTTCTTTGTTATGTCAAACTTGTCAAATAAAGTATCAAAAATACTGACTTAGTAGTGCAATTGGAATAGTAGACTGGATGGGCAATGAATAAAATGAATCATCATAATTCTAGGGGAGATTTTAAATCTTTAATACAAATACTGAACGGTATATAAGGTGATGGGATTAAAATAAGTTTCAAACCAAGCAGCAGCCAGTCTCCAATTTTAACATAACATTAATGTATATTTTAATATCAACGAAAACACAATCGCACTTGCCCGGAGAGCAAAAGGATTATTTAGGGAAGAGCACTCATACCTTCAGGAGACCCGCCATGGACTTTATTTAGTGTCATTGCACGATTAGAGGACACGCTTCCATTCATGTAACATATAGCATAAACATTAGCATCCCGCGGCTAACAGAAGTGTCGCGATATCTTACCACAAGCTCTCGCACATCTCCTTTTTGTTGTTTAACGGCGGTTTGCAACCAGCTAAAGGAGCATTACCGCCTCCTACTGTTCTGGAGTATGGATCAAACAGTGAACTCACAGGCTAAATCATGTATACAAAAATAAATAAATAATAATAATAATACAGAAATAAAGCAACATACAGTAGACCTTTGTCTTATACTCTATCAAAAACTCCTATACCCTTCAGAAACCCCACCAGATCTCTAATCTGTGCCCTACTACACTCCAGAACATTCTGCAGAGTGAACTCCCTATTTCTCAGTTCCATCATTCTACTCTTCAAAACTTCTCTCTCCACATCATAACCCTTACACCGCAGGATTACATGCTCTACAGACTCCTCCTCCTCCTGACATGATTCACAAAGCCCTGTCTCATGTTTACCTATCATCTGTAATGTTTTATTTAGTGAGCAATGACCCACTCTAAGCCTGGTGATCACAACTTCTTCTCTCCTATTTCCCCTGTGCACTCCAAGCCCAGTCACTACCTTATTAATCTGATATAGGTGCCTGCCTTTAGTTCCAGAATCCCACCGCTTCTGCCACTCCTTAACAACTTGTTGCCAAACAACACTTTTTGCTTCAGATTTGCTGCTTTTAATTTCTGTCAACTTTTTCATTTCCACTGATACCTACATAAGCTGGCACCCAAAGAAATTGGACATTATTACCCCTACAACTTAGTCTGTATACAGTCATCAAAATATCATACAACATACCCTGCCTTGTTTTTGAACAAAATGTTTGTAGGCTCGAAAGAACAGATGCAGAGTCAGAACACACTACTACCTGCCTGGTGTTTGAATGCTCGATCCATTTCAGTGCAACCAAAATTGCTGCCATCTCCACTGTATAGACTGCCAGTCCATTAGTAGTACGTCGGTTTATTCCAATATTTTTTGACGGGACCGCTATTCCAACCCCAGTAAATTCATTATCTGGATTTTTTGCACCATCTGTGAACACATGCGTGAATTCAGAGTATTCGGCCAAACTGTGAAAATGAAATGCTGCGACCAGATCCACTGTCCCTTTCATTTTCTTTTTGTTTTCAAGAAGGTACCAGTCCACAGAAGGGGTTACAAATAACCATGGAGGAACACCAGGGAACACTAATACTGGACACATTTTTAACTCAGACACATTACAGTCTTTAGCCCACTGATTCCCCACCTTTCCAAAATGATTCTTCTGACATTTCCCATATTCCCAACACTCCCAAAGCACCTCTTTTGTGGGATGTGAGTCACCATGGCATCCAAGATGAACCCAGTAGTTCACAGATATTTGCTTCCTTCTGAGGTCCAGAGGCATTTCCCCCATTTCCACCTGCAAGGCATTGACTGGTGATGTTTTAAAAGCTCCGCAACATACTCTCAGGGCTTGCGACTGCAGAACATCCAATCTTTTCAAAACTGAAGAAGCTGCTGACCCGTATGCCACACAACCATAGTCTAAGATAGACCTAATTAATCCTTGGTATAGTCTCTTTAAAGCAGAACAACTTGCTCCCCATTCCCTACCAGCTACACATCTCATACCATTGATTATTTTTTTGCATTTAGTTTCAATCCGATCGATATGACCACTCCATGTCAGACGTGAATCGAACACAACTCCTAAAAACTTGAACATGCTCACTTTTTCTATTTCCTCATCATACAATTTTAGTTTCAAAGTCTCACTCACTTTCCTTTTAGTGAAGAACATAATTTTTGTTTTTTCCACCGAGAATCGGAACCCCCAGTCAAATCCCCATTCAACCACATTATCTATGGCATCCTGGACCTTGTCCACCAAGTGCTCAATATTTCTTCCTTTTTTCCATAATGCACCATCATCAGCAAACAGAGATCTACCAATTCCTTCAGGTATATCAGAAAAAACATCATTAATCATTATGATAAAAAGAAGAGGACTGATCGCACTACCCTGTGGCGTTCCATTCTCAACCACATGCTGGGTAGAGAAAGTAGACCCAATCCTAACTTGGAAAGGAAGTCTCGGATCCAATTGAACATCCTTCCACCAACACCCAACTTGTGCAGTTTGATTAAAAGCCCATCCCGCCACAACATATCATATGCTTTTTCTATGTCAAAAAACACCGCCACAACAGACTCTTTATTAGCTTGAGCTTTTCTAACTACATTTTCAAGCCTAATAACCGCATCCATTGTGTTTCGAGCTCTCCTAAAACCACTTTGAAAATTTGCTAACGCCCCTTTCCTTTCCAACTCAAAGGACAATCTTTCAGTTATCATACGTTCCATCAGCTTACACAAATTTGATGTGAGGGCGATTGGCCTGTAGCTACCTGGTTTGGATGGATCCTTCCTAGGTTTCCGGATTGGCACAATAACAGCCTCTTTCCAGGCGTTTGGGAGCTCTCCATTTACCCACACTTTGTTTATTAGAACCAACAGTTTTTTAAGCGCTTCCACACCAAGGTTCTTCAACATCAAATAGCAAATTCGGTCTTTCCCGGGGGCTGTAGATTTTGTAGTCTTAAGAGCTCTTATCATTTCTTCCAGGGAAAATTTTGCATCTAACCCCAGGTCAGTACAGGTCTTCACTCCTAGGGCCTCTCGATACTGTGCCTTAGTTTGACAGATTCTGCCTCTTCCCAATACTGTTAAGTTTTCAGAACTGTGGACCTTAGCAAATGCTTTCACCATGACCTCTACTTTCTCCTGGTCTGTTACAAAGGTTTGTTGGTCTGAGATAAGAACTGGGTAATCCCATTCTTGCCGGTCACCTCCCATCCTCCTGATCATGCCCCACACATCCCCTACTGGAGTGGTTCTACCTATTTTAGAACAGAACGCTCTCCAACTTTCCCGCTTTGCTTGTCTCACAGTTCTCCTGACTACTGCCACCGCTTTCCTGTAAGCAACAAGATTTTGCATGTTTAGGGTTCTTTTTAAGAGTTTAAAGGCACGATTTCTTTCCTTTACAGCTTTTTTACACTTTTCTGTCCACCAGGGTACCAAGACTCTACTTTCTTTACCCTTACTTGTTGGAATTGAGGCCTGCGCTGCATCCATGATTACTTCTGTGAAATGATCGTTGATGTTGTCAACATCACTATACTCATCAACTTTATACATTGTTTCCTCACAAAAATTTTTGAACTTTTCCCAATCTGCTCTATGGACGCTCAACTTCTTGATTTCCTCTCTTGGAGTAACCCGTGTCCTTCCCCCCACAGCACAGAATACAGGGTAATGATCACTCCCAACTGTAGTGTCTTTCCGAACAGTCCACTGACTTATTCCTGCAAGGGCATTCGAAACTAGAGTCAAATCCAATACAGACTCTGTGCCATTTACAATATTGCATCTGGTGCCCCTGCCATCATTCAAACACACCAAATTGCATTCATCCATCCATTCTTCAATCACAGCACCATTGGGATCTGTATGTGTACCCCCCCACACTGTACTATGGGCATTAAAGTCCCCACACCAAATACTTCTACTGCTATCATAGCCTTCAATTGACCGCATATGCAGTAACTCTAATCTTGCGCAAGGATTGTATAAATTAACTACGACCATCGGTTCCTTCTTGTCCCATACTTCAATAGTTATATACTCCATTTCCTTGCCTTTCCCTAATAGTCTATACGGGATGCCTTGTTTGACAAATGTCACACAACCACCCCCTCCACCACGGTCCCTGTCATTCCTTATGACATTATACCCATACAACACATAGTCCAAAGATGCTTTAAGCCACGATTCCTGAAAACAAATTATATCCGGTTTAACATTTAGTTCTTTTACAAAATTCTTAAATTCCTGGCCATTGGCCATCAGACTCCTAGCATTCCATTGAAGGAGAAGCACCATGATTGAAAGAAAAAACATTATGTTTCCTGACTTGACTGATGTAGGAGGTTGTCCCTCACTTCTTCCCATGTCAGTCCTGTTAATTCCAGGTGATTCACTGCTGCCTTAACGATGAGCTGAATCTTCTCATGCTTTGATTTCACATCAGCTGTGGCGTTTATCACTCCCGCAATGAACGTAACTAATGCCAATTTGTCAATCACAATATAGTTTGCGTCAATCTGCGGGGCTCTTTGACCCTGCAGTGCATCCTGTGCCGGTTCAATCAGCACACTTTTCTTCGTTACTCTCACTGCTTCAGCATACGATATCTTCTTCTCCACTCTCATTTTTTGAATATTATTTTCTTGTTTCATTCTCTCACATCCAGCATATGCCACACTGTGACTCCCCCCACAACTGCAGCACTTCGGTTGAACACCGTCTCCGCACTGCCCATATTCATGGTCTCCACCACACCGCGCACACCTCCTCTTTTGTGTGCAATTCTTTGCAAAGTGACCAAATCTTTGACAGTGAAAGCACCTCATTGGTTTTGGAACATATGCTCTCACCGGGTAACACATGAATTCTAAAAACACTTTTCTTGGCACACTCTCTTCCTCAAAATGGATCAGTATGCTTTCGCTATCCGTCTTTGTTCCTCCTTTTGTTGTTTTCATCCTTTAATCCCTTTAATCTTACTTTTTAGATCATCCATTTTCACACTGATGGGAACCCCAGAGATAACACCCTTGCACCCACCTCCTTCCCGTGCACCCACCCTCCCAACATTTTCCACTTTAAACTTTCCAAATTGTTTCAAATTTAGTGCTTTGTTTAGCTGCACTTCATTTGCACATTGCACAAGAAGATTTCCATCTGCCAAGACTTTAGCAGAGACTATATCTCCCACTTTACTGTTCAGTTCAGCTGTCAAAATAAACGGACTTAGTTTTTTCATATTTACTTGCGTTTTTTCATTAAACCTCACGATGGCAAACATCTTTGTTTTTTCTCTAG